TGTGTGTGTGTGTGTGTGTGTGTGTGTGTGTGTGTGTGTGTGTGTGTCGTGCTACAGGCCAGGGCTCTGCCTTCAGGTTTCCGAACCCGTCTGGGTTCAGGCTGAACCCTGCCTGGCCCTCCCTTGCTCATCAGTGAACAGGTCCACCTCTCTCTATATGCCGGGGCTGTGGGTCACCACCCCTGAGAACCAGCATCACCAACAGTGGTGCTGTTGTACTCTCTGTGCCCAAGCTATTATTGTGCCCTGGAAAAGCATGCGTACTGTTCCGGGCTCTCAGGCTACTGGGGCTCAGCAGCACAATACAGGGTCCTTCGACAGGCTTGGTCCAGAGAAAAGGCCAGTTGTCACTGCGCCTCAGCATCCATTCTGCACCTTCTCCTGGCTGCCTCTAGGCCACCCTTCCCATCCTCGTGACTGCCTTACCTGAGGATAAAGCGAGGCCCCTGGTTTTTTCTACAGGGCCCAGGAGGTAACCCCGGCTTCCTGCCTCCCTGCATCCAACCCAGTGGAAAAAACAAGGGAGACCCACCAGGTAGTCCTACCTGAGGAGCGGTCTCCACAGATAGCACAGATGTGCTTGGTGAAGGATGCCATATTTCCTGAGGGATGGGCAGGAACTTTGAGGACGCCATTGAGGCCCAGCGGGGGTTTGATATCCTCACTGCTACTCACGGGGTTCATGGGTGAGTTGAGCTGCAAGGGGATGAGTAGGGGTGGGTTAGCCAGGGCAGACTGGTAATGGGCACCAATGAGTGCTGGGCTTCCTACAAGTAAAAACTTCACTCTCCAGAGCCTTACTGGGGCCACATAGCTAAGGACTAGCAGGACCACAGTCTTTAGAGATGGCTCCAGCTCTATGTCCAGCCCTCAGAGTACCCATCCCAACAGTCTGAGGCCACTGCAAAGTACCAAAGACCTCACAAAGCCAGGAATCTCATGCCCCTCAGTACACACAGGAGGCCCACTCACATTCCACCACCCACCTAGGAGCTACCACTGTCACTAACACTTGCCACGTGCCCTAAACACACGAGAACACAGGTACTCTGAACTCCCCATGGAGGCCAGGCTCAGGGAGGCATGGGCCACGCTCCTCCGGGGTCACACATCTCCCCACCCCCCTGCATGACAGTGGTATCTGGAACAGGACAAGAGGGTAGAGCAAGTGGACTGCCCAGACATCAAGCAGTAGGGCCACTATGGCCATCTTGGCACAACCCTTGCCTCTCCCCGCCCGCTGGCCGCCAGGGGCAAGCGTGGGAAACTCACCCTGTCACCCAGGCAACAGCTGCAGCGTCGCAATGACACAGCAGTTTTGGTTCCGCAGCAGCCTCCAGCTCAGCTCTGCAGTAAGCACAGGGCCTAGAAGCGCTTCCCTCTGCCTGCCTGTCTGCCAGGGCGCTGGAGCCCAGCTGGGTAGTTCCCCCACTTCTGAAAATCCCTGACAAAGGCAGAAAACCAGCTGCACAGCTGCACTGCCCTTCCATAGCCTCTGCTGCCCCCTGCAAGGGGAACCTCACCTCCTTCCTCAGGGCCTCCTGCTCCTTCCCCCACCTCTCTCACGGGACAGGAAAAGCACAGAGGCACCAGAAGCCTTTCGTTAGGGGACCTAGCATTCAGAATGGTTCTGCAGCCAGGGTTGTGAGCTAGGCAGTAAGGAACTGCAAAGATGTCTCATTCTGGCTGGTTTAGGTGGGATGCTGGGAAGCCTGGAGGCCCACGTAGAGCCCTGAGGGTGTCGGGGGAGGGGGGGGTTGCCAGGGTATGGAAGGTCTTGGTGGCAGGCAGGACAGCTCACTGCAGAAGAGAGCAGTCCATATGCTTGCAAACTGGTCAAAGAGCCTATGTGGGAATCCGGGGGCAACAGGGAGACACTGATGGCTTTTGCTGGCAAGACTGCACAGACCTCCACTCTACTCACTATATGGCAAGCCTAACCTTAAAGGTTCCTGGAGGTCTTAGCTCTGGACAGCATAAACAGCTCGGGGCGGGGGGGAGGGGGGAGCAGTGATGTCAGGACAGAGCAAAGGCAGGGCTGTAGCACCCAACCTCACTACCAGAGACACCCATAAGGTTCCTCGGGGCTCTACTAGTGTGAAATCCTGGATTCCCAAGGCTTGGAGGATACTTTTTTTGAACTTCCCAGATCTGAGCTGATGGACCAGGGCAGTCTCCGTCTTCCCCTTCATCAACATCCTCCATGGGCCACAGGCCCCATCCTCCTGAGATTCTGTGCTCCCTAGCCATCTCTCATGAGACTCAGGGCTGGACAGCCCTCTGCTGGAGCCCGAAGCCTCCCAGGGTGGGGGCCATCCCATTTCCTCTTTCATATCCTTGGCATTTATTTCAGTTCCACCTCATTGGTGCCCCACCTGGGCCGCCGCCTACCTCTCAGGCATCCCCTCTTCCCCCGCTCCCTCATCCTGTCCTCCCAGGCCAGGCCAGCCCTCAACTAGCCCTACTTGAATGGGCTATCCAGAGCAGATCTTGGGCCTCCATCTGCACTCAGGCTCTGTATGCTCCCCACAGCTTCGTTCCCCATCTGTCTGGGGTGAGAGGCCTCAATGCCTCCCTCACTAGCTCCACATTTGGGCACTCAGAAAGCACCCAATTGTAAATTACCCAGGGAAGCCAGCATGGCCAGATAGGCAGGTTTGTGAAGTTGTAGGGAACATCCCCTTGGGCCCTGTCCTAGTAGAGCCCCAAGATCAAATGAGACACAAATGAAGCTAAGGCACCAGGTGACTGTGGCCAGATATAGCTATATCCAGACCTAGCAAGGAACCTCATAGAGCTGAGAGCCAAGAGTTATCAACACTAAAGTCAGCGAACTGCAGAGATCAGGCCTTCATCTATCCTCTCTGAATATCCATGGCATTCATAGCAAGGACAGCTATGAGAAAAATAACAGGGCAAAGCCAAAGGGGGCGACCAGGTGGTCAGGCCTGCTTCATGGCAGCAGCACCTCTGCTTCTGGAAAGCAAAGTGAGGAGTGGGGAGAAAGGAAAAGACTGCTCGTGAGCAGGAACCCCAGCTCTTCTATGCACACAGGTGCTTGTGCTAGCGTGCATGTTTATACACACACACACACACACACACACACACACACACACACGCTAGGGCAAAGAGGTTTAGATGGGATCAGCGTAGAAAAAGCAGCCAGATTGTCTGGAAGAAAGGCTTAAGAGGCTCAGGCCAGTCCCAACAGGCTTCCTGGTAGTGAGTGGTCTCTATACACCCCCGCACCAGGAAGGGCCACAGGAGATGACGTGGTGCAGGGCACAAGGCCTCGGGAATCTAAGGGGCACATAGGTACTGTTTGCCCTGTGGTTCCAGGTGTGCCAAGTGGCACAGCAAAGCTATTAGGGGTGGGAGGATGGACAGAACCCGGACTGAGAAACTCAGAGCAGAGAGAGGATCCCTGACCTGTTTCAGGAAAGACAGAAGGCACCCCTAGAGCTGGCTCTCCTGATGCAGAGCTTCACACACACAGGACAAAAGCCCAAATAGAAACTCACCAAGACCTTCAAGAAGATAGGAGCAGAGCACAGCTCCATGAGGTATCCTACAGGTATTCAGGGCCTTGAGAGGACGAGGAGGCTGAGCAAAGACCCCAGAGTGCCCACAGCAGCATAAGGGCCCTGATGGGCCCACAAAGAAGGAAGTCAAGCCTTGCAGATGGCCAATATCCACAGGGCCACAGAGAGCCAGAGCCCAGGCATGGGCTGCTACCAGGGGCCTCTGTACAACTCAGGGACATGCATCCCTGGGCCAGGACGTGCTTTCCGGGAAAGCCTAGGGACTGAGCCCAGTGGCCTGGCAAGAGGGACCTATGAGGCCTGAGGAATCCCCGGAAGATGGGTTCAAGCCTAAGGAAGCAGATACCTCAGAGTTCCATAGTCACAGGCACAGGCTTCAAGCTGAGTTGGAGACCAGCTGCAAGAAATTTCAGCTGACAGAGCTATAGAGGCCAGTCTGGGTCAGCCAGAGCAAGGCCCAGCCATTTCACTACCAGCATGGCTCTCTGAGGCTAGCTTTTACTCTGTAGCTATAGAAATGACAGCTCTGACCCAGGGGTTCACAGCCTACAGGTGAAGCTCCCACTTTCTGCCCCACTTCCCCTAAGGTTTAGCCCAGCACTCACCTGGGGACTACCAGTCCCGAAGCCCAGTGTGGGGGTGGTGGGTACCGACATGGAGTGCGGGCCCATGGGGGAGCTGATGACAGAGAAGGGCGGGCCCATGCCATTGATGGGAGAGCTCAGGGTGCTGATAGGCGAGTGCAGCTGCCCAGGGGATCCCAGTGGAGAGCCGATTCCTGGACCCAGGGATGGGTGCAGCGACGGGGCAGCCATGGAGCCTCGACCTGTTGGAGAGTTGAGGGATGAAGAGTTCACCTGGGTGGAGAAGTCTGCAAGATAAGAATTAACAGGAGGGAGGGTCAGCATAGCCTCTAGGACCTGGCCACTGCCCACTCCCACTCTTTCAAGCCACAGGCAAACCCAGGCAAAGCCAGGACTCCTCTGCTACACTCCAAGGCTACAGCGTCTCTGGAGGGTACCAGCATGTGCCACTGCTATCCATCTTACACTCTTGGGGAATTTCTAACAGCATAGCCAGGGTGAGCACTGCAAGCTGAAGGCTCAAAAGTCCTAGACCTTGCCCTCTGGACCACATGACCTGGACTTTTGGGTACCACAGCAGAGCAGCCCAGACTCTGGTTCTCAAGCTCCTCTCACTCCATGCACAGGGGCCCATGTGATTCTTGTGGGGCCTGGAAGAATGAAGGGACCAGCAGGAAAGAAGGCACTGGCACTTCCATGTGGGAGGGGAGCTTCCAGGTGGCCTTGTGGAGGAGCTGGGAGCATGCCACGCCTGAGACCGGCAACCCACAGAGCAGGGTTGGGCCTGGGACCTCCCACATGCCAACCTTTTATGCAGGGTTTCAAACATGTGAAAAGTCTTAATCAGGCCTCCCCAACTGCAGAGGCTGGGGAGGTTCCCAGGTGTCCAATCTACTGCCCACAGGCCATGGAGAAGACTACAAAGAGCCTGCACAGGGCAGAGATTCATGCCATGTTGGGAGCTACAGGCCCCTCTGACGCTGGTGCTCTGAGAAAGTCACCCCTTACTCCCTCTGCTCCATTCCCCTTCACCTCTCCCCTCCTTTCTCTCTTCACCGCCCCTCCTTTCCTCCTTCCCCCTCCCTCCTTTCTTCTTTCCCTCTCATCTCTCACAGTCTTGGCCTTTTCTGGCACCTCACTTGCTTCTGCTAAGTAGAGAAGAGCAACAGGCACATGAAGTGAGTGGCTAACCCATGCCAGGCAGAGGACACAGGCTGGATGCATTACTTGATACCCTGGGAAGACCTCCCCACCCTGGGCCCAACTCATCCTCGCTGTGTCCTGGCAGGCAAGCCGAGCAGGAAGAAGCCCAAAGGAGATGCTGGAGGACTCCACAGCAGTCCTAAGACAACACAGGCACTGTGGATATTACTCTCAGAACCAGACTTGACTCTGGCCAAAGCCCATGTGCCCATTCTAAAACTGGTGCCCAGCACAGTACAGGGTGATCCCAGCAGCTGTACCAATGCCAGCCCCAAGCCAGGAATGCTACAGAGGCCTACCACCAGGACCAGCTCAGAGAGAAGCCTAAACTATTTCCATCCCAAAGATCCTATGACTTCCTCCCTGCTTCCCCTCAAGAGGAAGAAGCAGTAAGGAGGTCCCACCCTGACCAGGTCCACTATGACTAAGCCAGCCAACCTGGTTACCATGCCTGCCCTAACTGACAGAAGGGACCAATTTCATCAACAAATGAGCCTCATTTACCTGCCAGAAACCTTTGCCATTTACAAAACTGGGAACAAACCAGCTTGTTAAACAAAACAACAAAAGCCAATTTAAGAAATCCAGAACCAGCTGAGTAGGATGGTGCACACACTTAAACCCAGAAGTAGGGTGGCAGAAGCAGGAGGACCTGTGAGTTCAAGACCATCCTGATCTGCAAAGTGAGAGACCCTGTCTCAAAAACAAGGGCTGGAGAGATGGCTCAGTGGTTGAGGGCACTGTCTGCTCCTCCAGAGGACCAGGATTTGTTTCCCAGCACCCACATGGTGGCTCACAACTGTCTATAATGCCAGTTCCGGGAGATCTGATGCCTCCTTCTGCCTCCATAGGGACTGTATGACTATAGAACACTTAAGACACTTGCAGGTAAAACATCCAATACATAAGAAAAAAAATTTAATCCCAGAAGCCTGCTGGCCAAGACAGGAACTACAGACCAGCTATATAGACCATTAAACTCTATAAGGATGGGGAAGATCCACAGGGAAGGCAGGTGGGGCAGCCAGGCAGGAGAATGTGTCTAAAAGGAACAAATACAAAATCCAGTTGCTTACAAGAGCCTGGAATGTCTTTGTTCCTTTGACGTCAACTGAATTCTTATGAGCCTGTCAGAAAAGCCACCACCTCCTTCCACCTATGACAGAATGATCTGAGAAGGTTCGTGCCTAAGAAGTGCCCAAAGGCTAACTTACTACAATTTGCAGCTGCCCCTAGGCCAAGCAGCCACAACCATTTCCACACCTCGGGGATACCTGCAGGCCACCGGGCTGACTCATCATAGCCTAGCCTTCCCCACCCCTTCCCCTGGATGAGGAGACCTAGGCCAGCTCTCCCCTTCCCATGCCTGTTTCAACATTTTCAGTGTGTGCTACTGAGACCCTACATACCACCAGGCTAAGCCCTCATTGTATCCCCCTTTAGCCCATTTGAGAGACACATTTTGCTGACTTTGAGAACATCTGCCTTCTGTAGGCATCCCAGAAGGAGACAGGGTAATGCTGTGGGTATGAAGAAAGGAGCTGGGTTGGGCCCAGAGAAGGCCCACTCTTCCTGGTCTTTGAGAACAAGATGAGGGATGACCAGAAGGGAAATCCCTGATTCCTCAGGCTCTTTGCAACTCCACGTTCATGGGAGAACTTGGACAACAGGAATGACAAGAGGTCTAAGGAAGCTTGTCACACTAAGGGTGGCTCCCATTAGCCAGTTGTCCTCAAACACCAGGGAAACCTGGCCATGTTCACCTCATGACATTGTTTCTAGCCAGGGATCCAAGGAGGAATCCTTGCAGCCACAGGAATACCTTGTGTGGAGTGCTCAGGCTGCAACGGGGTCTGTGTAAAATGCCATAAGCCTGAGCTGCTCCTCTGGCTGTGGGCTTTGCTATGGTAGCAGCAGGAGAAAGCTTCAGCAGGAGAGAAAGAAAGAAGGAGAGAGAGGTAGACTGTAAGTCTGCCAGCTACCAGCTGTACCCCAAAGCTCCTCTGGCCTTTCAAGGTACCACCCATACCTGGCTCAAGTTGGAAACTGCTAAGGAGGGGAGCCAAACCAATGGAGTAGGGAGCAGGCCAAAGTGGCGCAGGGATAGACTTCAGGAAGAAAGGGAGACAGCAGGAGCAAGAGCCAAGCCTCCAGTCTGGGAATGTGGCTGTCCCTGTGTGAGGGTTCCCTTAGGCACCCCTCCCCCAGCCCTCCACCCTGCCTGCAGCCTGGTGGTACACAGCCAAGTGTCCTACAGTTGTTCTAAGCAGACTGTAAGTCCCTAGAGCTCCAGTGTGAAGGGGACTGCCACCAGAGCGATACCTACCTTGGCAGGTCCCCACTGCCCCAGGCCTCCACCCCAGGCTTTCCTGTTTACAAAGAATGTCCACTGCAGACACCTTCCCGGGGCCTGGGTGACAATGGGCTGGGGTGTGTTCTCTAGATCCTTCTGGAGGGAGAAACTTTCTTACCAGGAAGGGAATGAGCAAGAAATGCCTTTATATCCTTGCAAGGAAATGCCTCCTGGCTCATCCTTGTATGCATGCAAGCCAATGTGCACGTATACCATGCATGTGCGGATTTGTGCATGTGTGATGTGTGCTTTCTCTGCCTTGTCTGGCACTTAGCTGTCACCACCCTGATAAGCCATGGCCCCCATAAGGCACAATTCAGACAGCCACACTTTGGACTTGCAGGGCTGTTAACACCAGCTGTCTCCACCGATTAAGGAAAACCTCCACACCCCTCTGGCTTGTAGAATGGGGCTGAGAACTGAAATGTGCCAGCTTCAGACCTGGGAATTACAGGACACACATATTTCCTGCCCAAGAAATGGCAGAAAAGCCTTAGAAACATGACTGAGAAGAAACCGAATCACAGAACCCCAAAACCTCATATTATGAGGCACAGGGATCACATACATAACCCCATATCCCAAGATAGCTCTGCAGAACTACCACCAACATAGCCAGGGAAGCTGGGGAAAGAGTACAGTCAGGGAGCTTACGAGTGCCTCAAGGAAAGAGTAGAAAGCCTGTCTTCACAGGGAAGATGCCCATCATCCCACACAGATCACAGGCAGCTGGCACTGCAGTCCAAGAAGGGTGTGTGGAAGAGACACCTTGGTACAAAACTGACCATAGTATGAATGTGTGGAGATTTAAACAGCAAACCAACACAGAGCAGAGATGGACTCTCTCACACACACACACCCTGCCCAGCACCCAGGGCAGTTCCCTAGACCTCAGAGGGTGGGCTGAGTGACACTAGTAAAACTGAACTGCTGAATGCCTGACAACAGCTCTGGTGACTCCAGGATGCCAAGCCCTCCCCCCCCCCGAAGTCATAGGCAAGTGAGGAGCACCACCCCCACCAGTTCCTATGCCATATGGTGTCTGTAGAATGCCTACCAGCAGCAGGACCCACAGCAGGAGGCCCAGGGAACCCCCACCAACTCCTTTCCAGCCTCTGCTTGGCAGGCAGGGTGCAGGAAATGACATCCCACACAGCTGGGGTAGAGTGAGGCCCACAGCCCCTCCAAGGGAGCCAGGGAACCCCAGCTTCTGGAGAGGGGACTCAGTCATCCACAGCCCTCTGGCACAGCAGGAGCTAAGCAGGGTGTGTGTCTGGGTGAACAGAAGTGGACCATGTGGCTGCTCAGTCTAGAGCCTGGCAAGGAGGGCAGATGAGTCCACATGGGAGGTGGATAATCTGGGGCCACCACAGAGGGACCTGAAGAGGGTACCCAGAATGCAGCCAAAGCCCAATGGTGAGCCAGCACCAGGATGGCTGTCATGTTCTAAGTACAGGGCCCTCATCCCTGCCTGGGAACACCGCCCCCCCGGAACTGAAACTTTGTAGTGGGTGGCTCATGGGTCCTCAGAGCTTCCTGAGCTGCCCACCTCCAGCCTCCACCTTCCGGAAGTACTGCTTTCCCTGAAGCTCTGGGAGGGATAAGTGGAGGCCCTGGAGGAGAGCAATGGGAATATGGCAGGGACCATGGCGCCAGGGCTTTGAGGGAGCCCAAGGGTGGTCAGAGCAGGAGGGAAGAGGAAGGCAGGCCACAGGCCCCAAAGGGTGGGAG